GGGAAGGAACACGGCATAGGAGCCCACAGCACAGGGGTCTGAAGCCTCCGCTCACGTGCAGTCCAGCGAGGTCTGTCTTCCTGACCCCCTTCACTGAAAACAATGCACATGCTCTTAGGACAGGGCAGCAAGTGAAAGGTTCGGAACTCCTAAGTGAAAGATTGATCAGGAAGGTGGCTTAGCAAAACCTCTACTTTCTACTCAAGAGAACTTTAAGCAATACTCAGAATTTATCCACATTGGCTTCTGAGCCCTCTGTTGGTGAGATTTCTCTTCTTCACGGCTGAACAATTTACAAGGTCTGATTTGACATATTTTTAGCGGAGTGAATAAAGATGTGTCCACAGTTGAGCACCATGGGCAGTGCAGCCTACTAGTCACTGCTTCTCTCCTTTATACCATCACGATTTCCCCTTCTCATTTGGGGCACTGGCAGGTGAGCTTCCCAAGTCTCTGACAGAGAAATTATAAAGTCACCAGTAGGCAGACAGTCCCAGACATAAGCAAAAATATTATATAAAGAACGTCCTGCAGTGTATCTCATTCTCATATTAAAAAGTACATAAACTACTAACACAATCTTGTAAATCAACTACGCTCAAATAAAAATTAAAAAAAAAATGTACATTAACTATCTGGTGAGATGGGGACCACCTAAGCTTTGCTATATCATGTTTTCCTAGGGACCGTTTATGATGTCCTTGTGTTTCTGGGTAGAAGTGAACACACCTGAAAGAAAGCAGCATTATAACAGGTAAATGGCTACAATCAAACAAAACAAAAATCCTACTCACTTTTTTTTTTAACATCTTTATTGGAGTACAATTGCTTTGCAGTGTTATGTTAGTTACTGCTGTATAACAAAGTGAATCAGCTATATGCATATATATATATATATCCCCGTATCCCCTCCCTCTTGTGTCTCCCTCCCACCCTCCCTATCCCACCACTCTAGGTGGTTGCAAAACACCGAGCTGATCTCCCTGTGCTATGCAGCTGCTTCCCACGAGCTATTTTACATTTGGTAGTGTATATATGTTCATGTTACTCTCTCACTTCGTCCCAGGTTACCCTTCCCCCTCCCCGTGTCCTCAAGTTAGAGGTGATACAAACAGATGGAGAGATATACCATGTTCTTGGGTTGGAAGAATCAACATTGTGAAAATGACTATACTACCCAAAGCAATCTACAGATTCAATGCAATCCCTATCAAACTACCACTGGCATTTTTCACAGAACTAGAACAAAAAATTGTACAATTTGTATGGAAACACAAAAGACCCCGAATTGCCAAAGCAATCTTGAGAAAGAAAAACGGAGCTGGTGGAATCAGGCTCCCGGACTTCAGACTATACTACCAAGCTACAGTAATCAAGACAGTATGGTACTGACACAGAAACAGAAATATAGATCAATGGAACAGGATAGAAAGCCCAGAGATAAACCCATGCACATATGGTCACTTTATCTTTGATAAAGGAGGCAAGAGTATACAGTGGAGAAAAGACAGCCTCTTCAATAGTGGTGCTGGGAAAACTGGACAGCTGCATGTAAAAGAATGAAATTAGAACACTTCCTAGCACCATACACAAAAATAAACTCAAAATGGATTAAGGACCTACCCACGTTTTAAAGATCGTCCAAGAATCCTTGGGACATGTACCAGTTTTAACTTGTTTCCTAATTCATATGGTAACAGTAACTTACATATAGTGGGTACTTGCTCTGTGCTTTCCAACGCTGTGGGATATATACCATGTTTCTCTTCATTGTCTAGAGGAAGAAAATGAGGCAGGGGGAGTTTGAGTTATTTGCTGAAGGTCACATGCAGTTACTAAGTGAGAGGCTCCAGTGCCCACCACCTTCACCGCTATGCTCACTCCTTCTCATGCGAGTATATTCACTTTGTTGCTAGAGTTACTTTCTCCCCACTAATCTATGGCCTCTCTATCCTTTATTAATGTATGATATTAATATACATTAGTATACTGTATATTAAGATTTCTCCATTTCAGTTTGGTCCAGATTAAGATGATTTACAAACTAAAACAGAGCCTGGTTTACCTCAGTTGGGTCCAAGAACAATTCTGTTGGCCCTGATAAATTTTGACGCGAATGCCATGCCCTCGTTTTCTGAGCTATAATGAGAAAATCTCTATTTTGAGTTGCCGCTTAGGCATTTTACAGTACAATGACCCTGCTCACACCCAGAGTCTGGACATTTAGATAAGGACCTGAGTTTAGGACTCCTGCCCCAAATTCTCACTTGCTTTTCCTGGGGCGCCCTTTGAAATGACCACTTATAGTTGAGTCCGGGTAAAGTTAGTGACCTGCACCCCAACTACCTTACACATAATAGGTTCTTGCTATCCTGCTCACACGTGAACTGGGACAGAGGACTGCCCTTCTCCTGGCTCACTGCTTCCCTTTCCCCCCTCCTGGTTTCTGGGGTCTGTAAGTAATAAATCTTTAAACTTTACTTCCTTTGTGTGAGTGTGCTACACCTTCAATCAAAATGACTACAGGGTTCTTACTTCCCCAGATGGGGAACCGAGGGAGCTACCTCCTGACCCCACGTGGTGGCCTGTGCTTCCGCATTCAGCAGATCGTAATCTGCATATCCTTAAGTTAATACACCAGCTATGGGTCCCGCAACTCACAAGGGGGTACCATTTTCCCTCAGCTAATAAATAGTGCTATTTTGTAAGTTTTCATGTTCCCATAGATGGTGAAAAATGAATCAGGGGAGATCGCAGCAGCTGGATTGCAAAGGACCTAAAAAAAAAAACCACGTTAAGCAATACGGATTTAATCCTAGACCCTCTGCCTTCCCCACAATACCCTAAAGGGCTTTAGGCAGTGAAGTTGCCACTCTGGCAACCCCTGTGTGGAGAATGGACTCAGAGAAGCAAAACTGGAGGCCAAGGGGCCAATTAGGAAGCTTGCGTAGAACTCTGAGATACTGGTAGCCAGATGGATGGAAAACAATGGACGGAACTGATTTATGGGGGTTATGGGAGAGGGAGGAATCGAGGAACATGGCTGGTGTTTGGTTAGGGCAACAAGGACGTTCCACTTTTAGACACAGAGAATAAGGGAAAAAACAGATTTCGGGAGGAAAGGCTCTAATTTTAGCAGGTTGACTTTAAGGTGGGCTAGGCAAAGTAGGAATCTGACATTTGGGAGGGAGGTCCTGGATAGAGATAAAAAATGTGGAAGTTGTCAGCATATGGATGGAGATTCAGGCTTTTGAGAGTGTGTCAGGATGAAAGGAATCCTAGGGCAGAACCTTGAGGGAAACTGACATTTAGGAGATGGGCAGAGGTACAGGAGGCTGAAAAAGAAAGTGGCCTCAGCAGACAGGTGGAAGCAGAGCCCAGAGCATGTGCACAGTCAGGGAAATGAGGGCAGGGAGCACTTCTAGAAGGAGGGTGTGGCCGACAGGGTCAAATGTTAGGGAGAGCCTGAGTGACAGAGGACTAGATGATAGTGACATTAGTGACGAAGAAGTTGTGAGTGATTAGCTTGAGGGCAGTTTAGGTGGGGTAGCAGAGGCTGCAGTTGACTTAAGGGGTGAGCAACTGGTAAGCATAGATATTTGGCTCTAAAGGGGAGGAGAGGTGACGCTAACTAGCATATAAAGCTGAGGGTAACCATGTATCTACCACTGTTTCCATATCCATCTGTTTTTTGTTTTAGACTTAAGAGACTTGAGTCTATTTAACTGCTAAACAGAAGGAGTGAGTAGGGAGGGAGACACTGAACATACAGGAGGGAGGAGAGGCAAAGAAAAGAGTATGTTTCCAGGAAATGGAATCCAAGACTGGTGGATGAAGATAGCCGCCTTGACAGAAAGAAGGACACGATTTCTACTGAGCCAGACAGGAAGGAGAGATAAGGAAGGTGAGTTTTCGGATGCGCTGGTGGGAAGGGTTCCTCCTGGGGTTTCTGCTTTCTCAGTGAAGTAGAAGGTGAAGAGTCTGCTGCTGGCAGCGGGGGGCAGTTGGAGGAGTAAAAGTTTTAAGGAGAGAACAGAAGCCTTCAGCTGGATTGGGGGAAGATGAGGAAAGAAGCTGACAAAGGAAACCACAGAATTGCTTGGAGAATTGCTCCAGGGGTGGCTGGAGACCCTGGATTTAGATACACAGCATATCCTTCAGCAGGACTTTGTAGCAATCAGCTACCAGGGCGTGGGTGTAGGGAAGGCAGACAGTTGGATTCTATTCTTAGGATCCTTAGAGTCCTAGGAGATTTTCGTGCCTGAGGAGGAACACTAGCCACCATCTGTGCTTTATTTATTGTTTAATTTATTTACTTCATAAATCTACTTAAGCAAAAAACTGTCTCAACGTTTAAACACTATATAACCAAGTCAAAATCTACACATTTTACAAATCAAATTATTTAAACATTGATTGCAAACTTAAATCTTCCTATACATTTCAATCAAATCATCAGTATCATATGTCAGCTCCTCTAAAAGCATCAAGCATTTTGGTAAAGCACACACGTCTTACAAGGATTATAAAATTTTTCACACACGTCTTACAAGGATTATAAAATGTTTTACACCTACTCTTATACTCATTATAAAAATGGGTTTGTAGACCCAAGAGAAGGACACTATCTCATTTCAGACCAATTTTTGAATTTGGATATCCAAAAGAAGAATATATCTCAGTGCAGATGAAGTTTTGAATTATTAATCAATGAATTCTTGGTTGGGACCTGGGAAATACTTTACCTTCTAAGATGATGAAAATCTGAGCCAGTGCTTACCTTATATATCACTGGAACTTTTCAAGTCCACACTTTTCCCATGGATTAGTGTATTGTAACTGGATGCCTTTTCTTTAAACGATGTCATCTTTAAGTTTAACGACTATGATATGCAGATGTCCCAGAGATGTCCATGCCCAAACCTCTTATGTTTAACGGTAAAGGGACATTTTCTACGTAATTAAAGTTATGGGCCCTAAAATAGAGAGCTTATCCTGGATTATCTGTGTGGGCCCAATCTAATCACAAGAACCCTTAAAATCAGAGAATTTTTAAGGTCAGAGACGTGACAGAAGGGTAGGTCAGAGAGGTTCAAACTGTGAGAAGGACTTGGCCTGACGTTTTTGGCCCGGAGATTGATGGCAAGGAACCTCAATCCTACAACCATAAGGAACTGAATTCTGAATGAGCTTGGGAGTGGATTCTTCTACTTCAGTAAGGAAGGCAGCCCTTCCTACACCTTTCTTTTGACCTAATGAAACCCTGAGGAGAGAATCCAGTCATGCTCTGCTGGACTTCAGACCTACAGAAACTGAGATAATAAATAGGTCAAAGTTGTGTTAAGACACTACTTTGTGGTAATTATTACACAGCAATAGAAAAACTAATACAATAACTTTACTGACATTATTTACAAATTTATCTAGCTCATTTTCATTTTTACAAACTTCCCCAATATTGTTGTTTTCCCCAGTATCCAGTCTCCTCTTCTTCCTTATTATATAACTCCCGACTTTTAGCTGGGCATAGCTGCCTGGAATAAAGACTCTATTCCCTAGCCTCTCTCCCTTGCCTGGTGTGGCTAGATATGACTAAATTCTAGCCAATGAGATGCAAACAGAACTGTTGGAGGTGCCTCTCAGAAAGCTTCTTTAAAAGGAAATGGGTGTGCCCTTCCTTCCTCCTTTCTGGGACTGTAAGGGTGAAGTAATGGCTGGAGCTCAAGGAGCTATCTTGGGTCAGGAGGTGATATGCTAAAGGTGGTAGAACAGCAAGAAAGGAAACTGGGCTGTGGCGATCATAAAACTGCCATCCAACCCTGCAGTCTTTATTTGCAGATTCTTCTATGTGAGACAGAAATAATCTGCCACCTTGTTTAAGCCATTATTATTTTGGGTTTTACTGTTCCTGTAATCTCATTATAATTAGTAGGGTAGTAGAGAGGCCCCCTTTCCCAAGAAATGAAGGATCATGTTTGAGCAGTGAGCAGTTATCTTTTGGACGTTTGCCTAATTCATGTTCATGTAACACACTGTGGGAGCTTCTTTCTTCCTAGTTGTAATATATGACCAGATGGTGCCGATCAGTCTCTTTCATTTTTGGTACAGTTCCAACGTTTTCTGGAATTACTGAGAGCTCTCTGGATCCACCCCTCCCTACTTATGCAGATAAAGAAAAAAATGCACCTTATGCATAGATATAATATCTGCTCTACTTATACTCTTCTACTTATCAAAATTAACTAAAAATATCCTATTATAGTCATACTTCTTCGCTCAGTAGACTAACTACATTTTTGTACACTGTATAGTTACTTCTTCCTTTTTGAAAATCACAACAGAGTTGTGGATTTTAAAAATTCACCTTGTTCCAATTAACAATATTATTTTCCTTTTGATTATCAAATTGTCACAGAATGTCAATTTGTGGAAGCCTATTAAGATTGGTTCCTTTGCCTTCTCAGCTCTACCCTACATTTAAGAAAGCACCTTTGCTTTTTGTCTTCACCAATAGGTTCCAGGCCTAGAGTTATTTATGACATGGAGCTATTCTCCAAGGGACCTTGAGTCCTTTTAAAGGAGAATAATATCTGAGGCAAAGCTTCAGGTGCTAAGAATGCATATCAGATTTTTTCCTGATGTTGTTTCTATGCCGCTTTAGTGACAAAATTTGAAAAAGTTATTTCTTTTGAAAACCACAAATTCACAATTGGTATTTCCTATTTAACTCAGGCACTACCAAATCCTTTTTTATTTGACTCTGACATACAGTTTTACATTTATTTTCCCTACAGCATACCTGCTTGTATCCTGTAACCCCTGAACCCAGTTGTAATGTCGTGTTCTCTCTTTAGTGATCCTATAGGGTCTCACTGAGCATCATTCTCTAATTACTTTATTGATAGATTCATCCATGCTGGGCCAATGGGACAGAGAGGTGAGACACAGTTTATAATACTGGCAGGAGAGTGGTTGAAAGGATGAATTATGGAATCCAAGGAATTTTAAGGAGGAGGATAAGACAGCACAAATCAGGAGAAAGAAGAGAGGTTGTGGGATAGTGTGGGACAGGTACAGTGAAGGTCCCTGAGAGAGCTGGGAGGAAGGAGGTGGTGGTCAGAGCATGAAGTGATTGAACTTGAGACTACAAAGGTGGAGCAGTTCTAGGAGGGGGCCACGGTCATTGATGTGTTCCATGCCTGGAGATCTACAATTGCCCACATGTGACCTACCTCCACCTCCAGCTGCCAAAGGGACCTTTGTATACCCACTCTCGGCCAAAGCAAACATACACACCCATGTCTTGGGTGGGGAGATGAGGGCCAGAGTCCATCTGGGATCTTCCACAAATAGATGCCGGGTTCACCGTCGGCTGGCTGCCCCAATGTACGTGAAAAATGTATACCGTGTTCAGGCTGGGAGCATGCCCCCTTCCTGCCGCACCAGCCACAGGCTCTGGGCTGCTCTGTGGCCCTCCCCACAGTTCTGCTACTGGCTGAGTCTCCCTCCTGCTCTAGTGCACACAGTGCTGGCTCAGCTTCTGACTGTGCTGGCCGAGATCTGTGATGCTGGCACTCCTCACAGGAAGGAGCCTGCTGGGTATGCTGAGGCTGGTCCATCTGGTCCCCTGTAGGGGCCTGTCAGGCTCACCTGTACCACCTGTTCCCCAATAGCACTGAGCAGGAAGCTGGGTTGGAGTTGGGGGGACAGGAGGAGCAGAGTCTTCTAAGTAGCACAGGCCTCCCTACCTGCCAAACCCTGCCCTGATCCTAGGGCTGCAGGCAGAAAGAGATGCAGTGAGAGGCAACTGTGAGGGGCAGGTTAAGAGGGGCAGGTCCCGAGACACCAGAGCTCTACTCTTCACCTTGGATGTTTGGTACAGGGTCCCATGCAAGGACGTGGAATAATAAAGGCAGCCAGAGGGAGTCTCTCTCCTGCCCTGAAGATGCTACTTCTGGGGCAGGAGAGGGCAGAGGGCAGGGGTCAGGGGCTAGATTTCCTTCCTTGAAAGGCTTGAGTCCTCAGAGTGGGAAAATGAGGAAGCCAGAGAAGCTTGAATATTTCCAGCCACCCAGCAGGTTCCCTCGACGCAGGCGCAGAGATACCCGGTCCCCAGGGTCCAGGGGCAGTAGCACAGAGCTGGTGGCTGCCTCCCGGGTCACGTCTGGGTCGTTGGCAAAGGCCGAGATGACAGGCCATGTGTTCAGCATCAGGCTTACCTGGGGAGGGAAGCCCAGTTAGTACCTCTCCCTAGTCCTTGTCCCGGGACCCCCACTTTCCTGAGGGCTTCCTTCCTTCTCTGCAGCCCCAGAGGGACACTCTGGAACCTGGGAACCTGAGGCTCAGAGCACCCTCCTGGGAGGGCTGAGAGGTGGCCGGTGTTGCACTCTGTGCCTCCTTCACAGTCTCTGCTAGGCGGGCCCTTTCCCGCCTTGCTCCTGGCCCCCCAGGATGCAGGCCAATGGAGGTCTGCCTGCGGATCCCCTGGGCTCCACTTATTTCCCCCTTCCCTTCCCCTCCTGAGCTGGGGATGGGACAGGGCCTAGGGTTCAGGTCACCTGGACAGTCTGGCGGTTGTACACCTTCACCACATGGAACCGGAAGCTGTAGACGCCCCGGACAGGGGCCACGAAGGAGCCTGAGGCCCGGTCAAAGCCACCGCCCTCGTTCACCAGGACCTGTGAGAAGCGACCCTACTGAGTGGGGCTTGGGGATGCCTGGGGCTAGGGGAAACCAGGATTAGGGGGAAGGGGCAGTGAGTAAGGAAAGGAAGGGGTGGCAAGTAGACCAAACAGGAGGGATGCACGGATTCAAAAGCAATGGTGAGAAAGGGCAAGGAGGGTGTGGTGGGAATGAAGGGAAGGGAGACGGGAAGAAGGCTTGGGGGCAACTGGCCACAGCAGGGCTGTTTCCTTAGCAGCAGAGTGGGTTTGGACAGTGATTCCAGGTCTTTGCAGGGTAGAGGGATTACCTGGTCGAAGTATATGGCTCCACTGGTGCCATTGCCGATCTCTCCTGCTGGCTCGTGGTGGTGGCTTCGGACTGCAGCAAATGCCACTCTTCCAGGGGGTGCCTCTCCCAGGGCTGCTCCCCCTGGCCCCCCTGCCGCAGCTCGGCTGGGCTCACAGACCACCAGGCACTCACCTTCCAGGAGGACTGGCTCTGTCCCCTCCTGGGCCCACCCTGTCCTCAGGGCCATAAGTGTCAGGGCCAAGGTCAGCCAAGGGCTGAGTGAGGGACCTGGTGGCCAGTGTCGCTTTGCTCCCAGCATGGTTGAGTGGCTCTGTGACCCACAAGCCTTCTCTGTTTGCTCCTTGGTTTTGTCCACCTCTCCTCCAGGCTCTCACCACCCCTCACGCTGCTTCTCAGCCCTCTCTGGGACTCATGGTCACCTGGTCTTGGCATCTCCCTCTCCATCCCTCTCTGTGCCCCACGACTCTGTCCTGCCTCTCACTCCTGCTGTCACTGCAGTTCCTGCCTCCTACTCCTGCTGTCACTGCAGTTCCTGCCTCCTCGGCAGGGCACAAAATGACAGCAGCTGGGCTCTGGGAGGGAGAGGAGAAATGAGGCAGCCATACAGGAGGGCTACAGCCAAAACCCCAGGGCAGCCCCTCCCGAGAGCACTGAAGGCTGGAACTGGGACGACAGAGAACATGGGTGTCTGTGTGAGACTGTGAATTCTTGTATGTGTATGTGTGTGAGTGTGTGCGTATGTGTGAGACAGCTCCTACAGCTCCTCCCCTCACTCCTCCCCTCTTCAAAATCCGTCGCAAGTCAGCAGCCCTCTTAGCAGCATCTTTTCCACCGTTGGAAAAAAGGGAGTGTCCTTGTGTTTTCCCTGCAATTGTTTTGGTGGAAAGTGCTTGGCCCAACAGTGTCACTGTCCTGTGACCCTGGGCCCGTCTCTTTCTTTCCTTGGTCTTCTGTATCTTCATCCGAAGGGACTGCATTAGTCCGTTTAAGGCGCTCTTCACCTCCATCTCTCCATGAAGTGGTTCCTCATTCCTGAGAAACAACTGCGTGGAGCGATTGAAAACTCAGAAGAGCGCGGAGACGTGACCCGCAGGCTTGGAGCAAGAGCGGGCGAGAGGGCGGGGCCGGGGTGGGGGGACGAGTAGGCTGTGGGCGGGGCCGGGGGCGGGGACCCGGCTGGGGCCTGGGCCCGGGCCGAGGCTCCGGCCGCCGGCGGAGAGCAGCCTGCAGCTGGCGGGGGCGGGCGCGCGCCGGGGCTCGGTGCAGGCCCAGCCCCGGGAGGGGCCCAGCTGACTCCGCCCCCGGCCAGGAAGTGACTCAAAAAACTGTTCGTGATGTGGGGAAGAGAGGTCCCCGTTGGGTGAGGAATCGGGAAGGCCCGCCCAGATTCGGGCCCCCCGCCTTTCTTCCCTGGGCCGGGGGCGCGGGCGAAGCTGGGGCCGGCGGGCACCGAGCGGCGCCGGCGGGACTGAGGCCGCAGCGGGCGGCGAGGCGGGTAGGCGCGCTCTCCCCCGCGCCCGGGCCGCGGGAGCCAGAGGCCGCAGTGCAGAGCGCAGTCGGAGGGCGGCAGCCGCCAGCGGCTATGGGCGGGGCCCGGTCCGACCCCTGGGCCCCGCGTGGGGCTCGTGGCCCGACCGAGGGGTGTAGCAGACTGCGGAGGAAGGGGGAGGGGTGGGAGTGGCTAGAACCTTGGAAATGGCTGACAAGGGACCCAGAGGACAGCCCAGTTCAAGCCCTGGTGAGGATTCATCTTTAAGAGGCCGTCTTGGACTCGGAGATTGCAGAGACCCGGAGGAGAGGGACTCTTTCGTCACCTGTCCCCTCCTTCTGGCCTCCAGACCCAGCTGGATCTCCCCCCCCCCCCCGCCGCCCCGCCCCCGCTTCCTGCTCAGGGCTGTGGTCATTTTCCAAAGGCCACACACCCATCCCAGAGAGACAGCCTTCCTTGTTTATCCATGACTTGTCTCCGGAGAGAAGGCCCTTGTGTCCAGATAATCTGACATTCCCTCCCTATCCCCAGGCTGGACTGAAGTGCTGGTTACCTCTTGGGTTTACCAGTTTGGTAACTAGGTGCGACCTGTTGATAGCTGGTGTAGGCCAGGAGACCAAATTTGGGTTGAGGGGACATTGAGGCTCTGAACTGCTTTCCCTCCTTTCAGGGCTGGGCGGCCAAGGAGCCATGCCTACCTGGGGGGCTGGCTCCCCGTCCCCTGACCGTTTTGCGGTGTCTGCGGAGGCTGAGGACAAGGTGCGGGAACAGCAACCCTATGTGGAGCGCATCTTCAGGGTGGGGATGAGCGTCCTCCCGAAGGACTGTCCTGAGAACCCTCACATCTGGCTGCAGCTGGAGGGCCCCAAGGAGAACGCCAGCAGAGCCAAGGTGAACACCTCTCCCTGACCTTTCTGGGAAAACAATGACTCCCTCCCCCGAGGAGGCAGAAGAGAGGAGGGGCTGGGGAGGATCTCCACTCTTTGCTTGTCTCACTGGCCCTGAGCTTTGAGGAACTTCCAAACTCTCTATTTGTCAAGAGTTTTGGTTTCATTTCTGCTGCGATGACCCAGATTCTGCCAGGGCTTGGAGATTAGTGACTCAGTTCAAATCAGTTTTTACTCTTTGGGGGAGAAGAGATGATTTGGTTGGGCAGGCAGGCTCCACCAAGGAATTCACTGTGGGGTGGGAGGCCACACTGATTCCTTTGGAGTTAGTCAGGACTTACAGTAAGGCACGACCAAATACCATCCTTGTGGTCCTAGTTTGTTTCCTTATCTATAAAATGTGAATAATAACAGTACCCACCTCACTGAACTTATTGTGACTTAGATAAAGCATGTAAAGCGTGAGTTCGGTAAAAGTTGTCAATGATGATTGTTATGATGGAAATATACAACACGCATACACACACATAAATGTTTAGAAGAGACAGCCTTTTAACCAATTAATTATAACAGTTTCTTAAGTTGAGGCAAGTTCTAAATGGAAATTCAGCCACGGGCTGTCAACTGAAAAGGCAAAGAAGTGAGTTTCTCGCTCCCCTCTTAACCACCACGTTTTTCAGGATCTGTAGGGCTCCATAGCTCTCCTCAGGCATCCTGGAGCTCAGAGGAGAGCAGCGGCCCCGAAGGAGCTATTGGGCCACTTAGGATTCCAGCAGTCTCTTTTTTTTTTTTCCTACCTCCCCTCCCCACCTTTTCCCCCAGGAGTACCTGAAGGGTCTCTGCAGCCCAGAGCTACAGAATGAAATTCATTACCCACCCAAACTGCACTGCATCTTTCTGGGAGCCCAGGGCTTCTTCCTTGATTGCCTGACTTGGAGCACATCAGCCCACCTGGTGCCGGGGGCGCCCGGCTCGCTGATGGTCAGCGGCCTGACTGAGGCCTTTGTCATGGTCCAGAGCCGAGTGGAGGAGCTGGTGGAGCGGCTGAGCTGGGACTTTCGGCTGGGGCCATCCCCTGGAGCCTCCCAGTGTGCTGGAGTGCTGAGAGAATTCTCTTCTCTGCTGCAGTCCCGGGGGGATGCCCACACAGAGGCCCTGCTGCAGCTGCCCCTTGCTGTCCAGGAAGAACTGCTGAGCCTGGTGCAAGAGGCATCCAGGGGGCAGGGGCCCCAAGCATTCCCGTCCTGGGAGTGGGGGAGCCCAGGTCTGCTGGGTGCTCAGCACCAGGGAGTCAGGAGTCCCCTGAGTGACAGCAGGGAGTCTCTGGACACAGGACCTGCAGGGTGGCAGGAGTCACGGGGAGAGAGATGTGCTATGGAGAAGGAGGGGACAAAGCACGGTGGTCCCAGGGAGATGGATTTGGGGTGGAAGGAGTGGCCCGGGGAAGAGGCCTCGGAGAGACAAGTGGCCTTCAGGCCACAGTCAGGAGGAGGAGAGGCAGGGCAGGCAGTGCCTCTGAAAGGGAAGGCCCTGGGGAAGGAGGGGGTGCCTCAGGAAAGAGGAAGGTTCTGGGTCCAGGGCGCCCCTCCTGGCACCCAGGGCCCCTGTCAGAAGGCAGCCCAGCCCCGGGGAGCCTCCCTCCTGCAGCGGCTCCATAATGGGGAAGCCTCACCTCCAAGAGTGCCCAGCCCCCCACCGGCGCCTGAACCCCCTTGGCACTGCGGAGATCGAGGGGACAGAGGAGACAGGGCAGACAAGCAGCAGGTCGTGGCTCGAGGTCGGGGGTCTCCGTGGAAACGAGGCACCCGGGGGGGTAATTTGGTGACTGGCACACAGCGTTTCCAGGAGGCCCTCCAGGACCCTTTCACTCTGTGCCTTGCCAATGTGCCAGGCAAGCCAGACCTTCGCCATATTGTCATCGATGGCAGCAACGTGGCCATGGTGTGAGTACCTGGTGGGGCTGAGCGTCCTGGGGAGGGGGATGAGATGACGAGATGGGCAGTTGCATTCACCTTGGGGATATGTGCGAAGTGGGGGGCAGTACAGCCAGGCTGCCAGGCCCCCCTGGGGGTCCCAGAATGCTGACCCCTTTCCACTGCAGGCATGGCCTCCAGCACTACTTCTCCAGCCGGGGCATTGCCATTGCTGTGCAGTACTTCTGGGACCGTGGCCACCGCGACATAACTGTCTTTGTGCCTCAGTGGCGTTTCAGTAAGGACTCCAAGGTCAGAGGTGAGTTGGGACTGGTCTTTTGTGTCCGGGGATGGGCCCTGCTTCCACCTTGAGGATAACCCCATTCTGCTCCTCTTTCTCTAGAGAGTCACTTCCTGCACAAGCTGCATTCCCTCAGCCTGCTCTCCCTCACTCCCTCCCGGGTCTTGGATGGCAAGAGGATCTCTTCCTATGACGACAGGTACTTGCTTCTTTCTTGGTCACAGGCTGGACATTCAAGGAGCCAAGTGGGAGACTGAGGGAGAGACAGAAGCTCCTGACCCTTCACACTGTCTGTAAGCCTGAGTCGTGGGACAAGGGTCAGTTCTCCTCCGCGTGCCCCTATGACTGGGGAGGTAAACCTGCCCCGCAGGCAGGATGAGATGGATGGTGGACAGCTCTGTTTGTCCACTCATCCTTCACTTTTCACTCATCAAACTAAAGGATGCCTCATATTTATACAGTGCCTTACTGTCTAGAAAATACTGGTTTAATGGAAAGATGGGAAAGCCAATGACGTGAATAGCTGACAAATGCCTCTTACAACCTAGATGTCCAAACACATAGAGAAATTCCCCAACCTTCTGGAAAAACCAGAATCAATGTTCAAAATAACGATAAATGAAAAAACACATTCCATGCATAGTAAGACTGTACAAAACATGGTATAATAAAAGACAGTGAAAGATCACTGGTCTTAGAATTTGCAGGTCTGGATTTGAGTCCCAGGTTGCACAGTCATTGACTGTGGAGTCTCTTAGTGGATTAATCTCTTTGTCTCAAGGTCCTCTTCCATTTATTCATCCTCCTTGTGAATGTCAAAAGAAGCTAAGGTATGTGTTTGTCTCACTCAAGGTGCTGGGCAGGAGGGCAGTGATGTTCCTTAGTTTTTCATGGATCCAATCAAGTGTGGCAGAGGGCCTACCTCTTGTACAGAAGTGGAGACGGAGGGTCAGAGTAGTTAATTTTCTTGGCAAAGGCTATGAAGTAGCAAAGGGAAAATGAGAACTTAAAGCTGCTAGCTGGTTTAACTGAAAAACACGGGGCACATTCCCTCCCCAGTGTGCACACAGTGTGGGAGATGGGCGGATTTTAAAAGCTAACTAACCGATTTAAAAAAACTAGTGACAAGTTCTTTATTCTCTAGGATTTTCGGTTTTAAATTAAAAACAAGTTTCCAGACTGAAGTGATTATATATTTTGTTTTTTCAAACACTTAGCTCTTACTCCCTAACAGGAAAATGGTATTCTACAAAAAGTTCACGTTCTCCCGATGCTATTCTGTTTTATGTCTAGATTTCACAGGTTATCTGCGCTATGGAATCTTCTTTACACGCCAGCACTGACACAGTTAAAACTGAAGGTTGAGTCAGTGGTAATAAATTTTGAAGGCACATGTCTGTACAGTGGTGTACGTCCTGATAGGCAGACAGCACAATATGAATTTGGAATTTTGCCTAGTTACAGTGAAAAACACAGTGGCACGTAGCACAGGCCTACTGAATACTGCGGAGCAACGTATGATGTAATGTGATAATAGTAAAATACGCTTAACCTGAAAATACCTTCTGTACCTTATATGATACCATATACATTTTTATGTCATCTGCTTAACTTATTTCCCAGACAGAAACTCAGAACCAGACACCTGTCACACCGAATCCTGATTACTAGTCCCCTCTATACCACAATGTTTTTCAAATACTGACTGCCTGCTTAGTACTAGGTGCGTGGCCTGCCGAAGGAAGCAGGAATGCAGGGAATCAGGGAAGACCTGATTCTCGACTTCAAAGAGCCCAAAGAAAATGTAAACCAACAGTACAGAATGGAGAGGAAAGGGATCCCCCTTCTGGCTGGGGTTTTGTGGGAAGAGAAAGCTTTGAGAGCTTCTGTTGATTGATTGACAAGGACATGGGATGCGTTGGAGCTCTAGGTTTTAAACCTGTTAAAAAGGACTCACCTCATGAGTCCTACCCCAGTCCTGTGGAATCAGAATTACTAAAGTGGGGCCCAGGCATCTATTTTTTTAAAGTTCCCCTGGTGGTTCCGTTCGTCAGTGAGGTTGGGGAAGCACCTTCCAGATGGAGGGAATAGTTTGAGAAAGATGGAAGTCGGACAGCACGGGGCATGTTTGAAGAACAGGGTGTAATCTGATCATTGATTTTGGCAGGAGCTGAGTACAGCAGGGAGTATGGGGTGAGATAAGGCCATAAGAGTGGCTTGGAGCTGGGTTCTAGATGGCCTTGGCTGCCAGGCCTGGGCATGTGGAAATATTCGGTAGATAAAGGGCAAGTTTGGAAGACTTTTGTGTAGGAAGAGCATATTCTCTTGGGGGAGGTCAGGAGAGACTGGAGGGTGGTAAGTGGCTGGGGGCAGGGGACCCCCTCATCAGGAGGCTATGCAGTAGTACCATGCTTGTAATGTCCACGTAGCTCAGATGGTAATGGTGGGACTGGAAAAGAAGGAAGCAGAGTGGAAAGCCTTTCAGAGGAGAAGCATGATGGATCTGTGACTGATTCATGGGGGCACGGTGGAAGAAGACAGAGCCAGAGCCAGATCTTTCTATTTCACGCTAATGAGGCACAAAGTGTTGAGTGGAGGATTGTGGTGACTTGAGGGGATGCTATTGGGGAACCACGATGGATTCATCTTTCATGAGTTTCCTTTCTAACCCGTGGCACCTGTATGCAGTCAGTCACCTGGGGGCTGGATCAAGGTGAGGGGGCCAGAACTCCATCACCGGAAGTGGGTCACGGGAGTCGATAACGCTCTTTGGGGTTGGGACCTTGGAGAGTCCCAATATGGCGGCCGTGGTTTTCGTGACAGGTTCATGGTGAAGCTGGCTGAAGAGACCGATGGGATCATTGTCTCCAATGACCAGTTCCGGGACCTGGCAGAGGAGTCTGAGAAGTGGATGGCAATCATTAGAGAGCGGTGAGGGAGCCCTCCCCTGAGCACAGGGCACGGACTCAGACCTTTCTCTAAAACCAGCTCTGCTCTGCCACCGGGTGAGGACTCTGGGAAGGGGCTGACGTTGCTTTGCGAAGGATGGTAGCTGGCAGCTTCTGATGGTGTTGGTCTTAACTGTCCGGGAGGTGGGCAAAGGCCCCTCTGTGACCACACATTCTCTGTGCCCATCCAGCCTGCTGCCCTTCACCTTCGTGGGAAACCTCTTCATGGTGCCTGATGACCCACTGGGGCGAAATGGCCCTACACTGGATGAGTTCCTGAAGAAGCCGGTCAGGTAATGCCTCAGACTCTCCTAGGCAGCCCTAGCTTTTGCTCTGCAGGAGCCTTGCAGGCCTGGAGAATTGGGGGAAGAATGACCTCAATCTGGGCCAGCTTTATTCTGTAGTAGTTCAAGTTGCCTTGGGCTTGGCCCAAGGAATCCTGACTCAGACCCTCCTGGCTGGGAGGGAAGCTCCTGTTTCCTGTTTTCCCTGATCAGTGTGTTGGACGGAGTTATTTGGAAGGTACTTGCTTTTACTTATAGCCAGCTGCATTGAGCATGCCCTCTGTTGGACATAAAGTGATTAATTTATTAGACTAGAACTAGATAGTGGCAGGTTCACCTTCCAGGTTCCAAAGGAACAGGCCATCTTCCCTTCAGAAGTGGGTTGATACTGCCCCTCAGTGGTCAGTTTCTGGAACTTCAGGGTCACTCCCCAGAGCCCAGACTAGGCAGGGCAGTTGACTGGGAGTGGAGAGCAGGGAGGCCCACTGGGCTCTCACCTCCCTCGAGGATGCTCATCAGTTCTTCCTGTTCCCTCTGCTTCTTCGCAGGGCACAGGGGTCTTCTAAGGCGCAGCATTCTGCCAAGGGCTTCACAGAACACAGTAATCAGCAGCAGGGGAGAAAAGAAGAGGAGAAAGGCAGTGGTGGCATTCGGAAGACGCGGGAGACAGAGCGGCTCCGGCGCCAACTGCTGGAGGTGTTTTGGGGCCAGGATCACAAGGTGGACTTCATCCTGCAGCGGGAGCCGTACTGCCGGGACATCAACCAGCTCTCTGAGGCCCTGCTCAGTCTCAACTTTTGAGCCTCACCTGTCTGAGTGACTGCCACCCCGTCAGCTCCAGCTTCATCCAGCTCAGCTCATTCTGTGAGGGTCCCTCTGCTGCTCAGACCCTGACCCAGTCTCACCCTGAGTTGGTGCTTTGTGTCAGGGAAGCACCAAGGAAGTGCATTCGTGTGTGGGGAATGCTCTTGCCTGGGGCACTTTGGGGACAGGTCTGTAAGGTGACCTGATCTCACCTTGAGTCAGGACCTCAACCAGCTCTCAGGAGGTTCTGCTCAGCCTTAACTTCTTAACCTTGCTTTATGCAGGGTTTCTGTAGGGAATGGGGGCTGCTGGGAAGGGTGGGTCACGGAGATGGGGACTGTCGGCCCCTCCTCCACGCTGAGCTGGGGATGGAGGCTAGGGTGGGTGGGAGGGGAATGTAGAACAGGTGGCCAGGAAGCTAAGCCTTTCCTCCTCCTGGCTGCTGCTCTGATGGCCAGAGGACAGGACGAGTCCCAGGCCTGGCTGGGCTCCTGGGCGCATCAAAGGGAATGCTGGGCCCTGGAAAGGCTAGTGTTATGGGGTCTGGGTCACAGTGGGGCAGCGGGGAGCTGGTGGAGAAGGCAGAGGGAGACTTGGCTTCTGGTCTCAGCTATGCCTGCCTGTGACCTTGATTGATCTTGGTCTTTACTTCCGCCTACAAGTCAGGGGTAAAAAAGCCTGTTGGGAGGAGAGATGAGAACGTGGAGGAAAGGTACTTGGACCAAGCCTCAGGTGTGTCTGTCTGTGGTTGCACAGGCTTCCTAACCAAAACCTCACTTTTAGAGAGCTGAGGGTCCTCTGTCCCCAGAACCTGTGCCCTAGATGTTTTAACACTGCATCCTCAGTATAATGAGCCCTATAATGGCTGCGTCCCTTTTGGGCAACCCCCCTCCCCCGCCAAATCCACATTTACAAAACGGTTAATTAGGGGTGACTGTTTGCATTACCAGAAAACTCTCAGGGTTCCTTCCTATCAATGGCAGCTCTCCTGTTGCATTCAGGTGTTTGTTTACAGTTGAACGAATGTGTCAGAAAGTCCGCAGTCCCCAGTTGATGCACTTGCTCCAGCGTTGAGCAGTCACCAAACCAGTGAAGCCATGTTCTGCGAGCAAAACGTTCATGTGACCTGACCCTAGCATCTTCTTTACAGAACATACATGTTGCATAAAGCGAGACCCACTTCTGCTCCGTGTGTGCGTGTATGCGGATGGGAGGGTTTATAGAGTTTGTATCTAGAGGAACCAATCTGGAAAACGAAAATTGAATAACCAGAGTCAGAAGGTACTTGACTGGCCACCAGACCAGCTGCTGTCACCTCAGGACATTCTCTTTCCTCCTTGATTCCTACAGGTCATTGTCCTGTATCTGCTTGAAATCCTCCTGTACCAGGGAATTTACTACCTCCGAGGCAGCACATCCATCCGTGGACAGTACTAGGCAGTCCTTCCTTTAGTGCATCCCCAAATATGCTTTTCTGTTACTTCTACCTTTGAGGCCAGTCATTCCATCAGGAACAGTACAGAGCCAGTCAACTTCCTAAAGAGTCCAAAACCAGATAAAGAAGTGAGACAGGTGTTCCTGGATTCTGTGCTGTCTGGGCCCTGCAGCAAGTCCCTGGACATGGCCCTCTTTTTAGGCTGACTTCTGTTCCCTGAGTGGCACAGGGAGTTGAAATCACCCCAGATCCTTGTATCAGCAACTAGCATGTGGAGCTGAATGATGATGGAGAGGGTCTTAGGGTCCCAGTGTCTTTGCCCTTCCCCATTGGTGAGGTCCACCACTACACTGCACTGAGCTGGGCTGGGGGGCAGGCGAGTTGGAGAGGCTAGTCGGGGTGGTAACAGTGATTCAAGGACAACCCATAGTCTCCTCAGAAGAAAGGAGATTGGTTAATATGGCCTGAATTGGGGGCTAGGGGAACTGCTTCTGGTCAAACTGTGGCAGAAACCAGGGTCGAGAAAAAGGGGGAGGCTCCTTGATGAATACTTGGGACGCTTTTTCCCGGAAAGGATTGAGTTTGTAACTTTTGATAGGTTCCTTTTACCTTTCACTTTCAATGCTGGTGGGTATGCAGTGGGCTCGAGGTATCTTCTGCTCTTTTGTGCTAGGGATCCTGGTTGACTTAAGTGGCCCCAGTCAGATGAGAGGCAAGTCCTTATCTTTTGACAGTCCTAAGCTTTGCACAGCTTTGTCCCGCTGCAGCCTGATGAACTGGGGCCAGTGTGTGATTGCTTTATCAATTCACTGTTCAGTGACAGGCTGAAGGCTGTCCTGGACTTGGACCTTGTCCCTTCCTGTGCTGGCATCCTAATGGCACTGCGTGAAACAAGTATGCAGGGTGACCACAGAGCCCACTGGAAATGGATCACCATTCTTCTTGCCTCTACCTTTGTCATAACCTCGTGCCTCAAATTTGTTGCCAACTCTTTTGGCAATGGAGGAGGGACCAAGAAGGGAGATGTTGCACATTATAACTTTCAAAACCCCATGTAAAGTAAAGGGTCTCCTAGGATGGCACTCCTTGAAATAAATTTCAGAACCTAGGCCAAAGAGATGAGCTGAAGCTAGTGAGATAATTTACCTTTATTGCCTAAACTGCGGAACATTCTCTACACAGCAAAAAGGAGAAATGGGCCAGGAACAGGACATGCAGGGAAACCAAACTTGGGAATTTATTTAGGAGCAGTTCAAGAGGTTAAGGTCCCAACTCAATGAGACTGCAGCCTTGAAACAGCAGACAGTCTCTCAGTTAAATAAGGTGAGGCAACAGGACAATGAGAAAGAAAGAGGACTCCCTAAGAACCAGATGGTTCAGGTTTCAAGCAGAGGAGAACCTGAGTTCATAGTTTCTCATTAGGAAAGCCCCCGCTGAGGGACAGGCCTCAGGCCCTTCCTTGAGCCTCCCCCACCTAGGCTATGACTTCCTTCAAGGCGGCCCCCAGCTCTGGGAAGGAATACTGGTAGCCAGCAGCCAGTGTCCGTCTTGGGACTACCTTCTGGCCCTCCAGCAGCATGACGGCACGTTCTCGCCCAAAGACAGCTTGTACCACCGTGCTGGGGAGAGGGATGAGGGCTGGGCGGCCCAGGGCTGCGCCCAAGGCCCGGGCAAACTCAGCGTTGGTAGTGGAGGAGGCTGGAGCCACTCCATTCAGGACCCCTTGCACGTGGCTTGCTTCAAGGGCGTGGGCTAGGATTCCTGCCAAGTCTCTGATGTGAATCCAGGGGAAGAACTGGTGGCCTGAGCCGATGGGGCCCCCCAGGCCCAGGCGGAAGGGCAGCAGCATGTGACCAATGGCACCGCCTCCACGGCCCAGCACAACCCCTAGAGCGGGCAAGAAGGACGGTACAGGAAGGCCCCTTAGCCTCCAGGCAGTCTCACTGTTCCTCCCTGCTTCCCCTTCCTCACCTTTTCCCCATGCTGACTGCTCTGTGGCAGGCAAGGGGTGTGGCTCTCTTTGGGATGTCCCGCCCTCCCACCTGTAGGTTAGCTAGAAGTGGAGGCATCCTCTGTAAGCCCAGCTCCCCTTATCCCCCCACCCTCCGAGCCCAGAGAAGGCATTCCAACCCTGTCTGATACCCAGGGCCCTGGTTCTCACCAGAGCGCACCACCACTTGGCGTGTAGAATCTCCAGGAAGCCTCGCCGCAGCTTCCCATTTGGTTACAAGGTTGGAGAAAAAGTCAAAATCCCCTCCTGGGCTGTCCTCATCGTACTCGGCAGTCAGGCTGGGCTGGTAGTAAGCTGCCGGTGGAACAGCACTTGTTTGCTCTGCATGTCCTTGGTCCTGTCTGGCCCTTTGCAGTCAAGGCTCCCCTTGGCCTCACCCTCCTTGGCCCTTGGGATCTCCCCACGGGAACTCAGAGCCATGGATATTTTCCCCTTGATCTTCTCCATGAGCTGACCTGTTCCGGCCCTGGAGTCATTCTTATCTTTCGTTATGGGGCTAAGCTGAGGTGCTAGAGTGAGAAGCTAAGAATAAAGACTTGGGTGCCAGACTGCCTGAGTTTTAATCTCAGCTCCACCATTTATTAACTCTGACTAAAGGCAAGTTACATAACGTCTCTGTGCAGAATTTTTGCATCTTTAAAATGGGAATAATAGTACCTACTCCATAGGTTTCTTGTAAGGATTAAATGTAATATGTGCAAATCACTTAGAATAGTGGCTAGTGTGTGTGTGTGTGTGTATTTGTTATTTGGTCCCAAAGGTAAAATACAAGAATCAAGAATTCTGTTCCTAAAGAACTGTACTATAAGAAATAAGGGACCTGGAAGTAGGTGGGACTTTCCCTGGCACTGGGAGCAGTGCCACTCCCTTCACTTTCTCTGAGGTCCCCATTTCTCAGTGAAAGTACACAAAAGTCAGGAGAAATATGCATGGAATGAGGGCCTAGGTAGATCCGTGGTTGGAAAAGACCAGCACTCTGGGGCCTGAGCTGCTCCTCACTGTGCTCCCTCCTTTCCCTGGCTAGTCTAAGGGTTGGTGGTGTGGGACATACCTACACCTGTGACTAAGACCCAGACTTGGGGGGATTGTGGGGCTTTGGCAATGGCTCTAGCCAGCATTTGGGTGGTCTCCAGGCGGCTGCTGAGAACCTCTTTTTGGAAGGCTTCATTCCACCTGCAGGAGAAACGGGAAATAAAATGCCACTAAATACATGTACATACCCTTCCTTTCCTCTCTTTCCCTGGGGCCCATCCATATCCATTTCTAATAAAACCCTGCATTGCAGCTTAGAGGAATGGTCCATCTCTTCTGTAGAAGGAAAAGGCACATCTACTTTGGGCATCCTCAGTGGGGAGCAAGGTCCACCAGCTGAGCGGGAAGAAGGGCAAGTGGCTGTGGAGGAGTGGGGGTGGGGGAACGAGCAGTCCGGTATACGGGCTGAGTTCTCAATCTGGCAGTCCCATTCTTCACAGCTCACAGTAATCCTCAGAGTCGGCCCTCTCCTCCCTCTGCTCTGAAGGATGTCAGCTTCAGGGCCCGGCTGACCTGCGGAGAGGGTTGAGGATGTTCTCTCCCGCCAGATTGACGGCGGCATCGCAGCGGGGCAGCCCCGACGTAGCGAGCTCATCCTGTTGGAGAAAGCGCACAGTGCCCGCGAGCCCTCGCCCTCGCCCTGCGCCACCAAACTAGGCCCCACCCCCACGCCCCATGCTTCCAGAATTTGGACATACCCACGTGATCCGACCGGCCCCTGGCTTTCGGGAGACCAGCGTCACTTCGTGGCCCCTGGCCTTCAGCAGCTGGGTTAGGGCTGTCCCAATGAAGCCCGTTCCGCCACCTGATCAGAAAATGAGAGGTGTTTATCCTCCCGGGGGCGCCTTCCGTCCCCACGTGGCCCCCTCTTCCGGTGCCCTCCCATCTGACGCCAGACTTCTCCCCTCCTCGCCCCCTCCCCGCGATGCAGAGGTGACACAGGTCACAGAGTTTAGGGAGATTCGGCTTCTAGGGCTCTGAGGCCAAGGCCAGGTTGCCTGTGCACGAGACGGTGCCCTCTCTCAGAAATGGCCTCCTAGCCCTCAATTTCTGGCTATGTTTTCTTCGTATAAACCGGCCTCCTCCCACTCCCCCTTCCTGCCCTCCCTCACCCACAAGAACCCTCATAGCGACAAGGACCTAACGCGCCTGCGCAAGATTTAGAGTCCACCTCTAGGATGACTGCAGCCTTTCTGCGCATGCGTCTTTCGGGAAGCGCCCTCCACTTGGGGGGCGGGTAGGACTGGGCGTGGTCCTGCCTGGCGACCCGGAAGAATTCGTAGTGAAGCCTGTATATTTCACTGCAAGGAGAGGCGGGGATCTTAGCAAGGAGGCCGGGGGGTGGGGAAATAGACTGAGGGGGCGGGGAAAGAAGGGGAGGAGGCGGAAGAGGGAAGGTTTTAGTGTAGAAAAAACCTTTGACCTAAAGCCCGAAGCTGCTCAGTCCTCCGAATTACGGCTGTCACTTCAGTTTGGTGGATACGTAGTACAAGAGAATCCGTCCAGAGGTACAATGGATTTCTCTCTACCCGGCCTATTATTTCACCTTTTCTTCTCCCTGTTCCGGCTCCTTCCTGTCGGCATTTAAACGTTCTCAAGTTCCCCTCGACTTAAAATAACCCTTCTCCAGCCCTCTTCTTCCGCTAATGTCCTATCTTTCTCTTCACCTTCATAGCCAAACTTCTTAAAAGAGTGGTGTCCATTTTCTAC